CTTTACAAAACTCTGACGAGGGGGGGGGGGGAGAGCACGCTCGTGAACTGTCAATGGTGTTGTGGAAATAATTATCATAAGACGCCAATTAGTAACATACAGGACAAACCTCGATGTCTGTTTACCTTCTTTAAGGACACAGGCGGCTTAGCCAATAATGTTATTGTTCCCATTCTGTGACCGGTCAATACTGGGATACAGATGGTCTGTGTTGTGGGTACACTGGGACACTTCCTTCTCTGTATTTGTGGACTCCAAGGTAAAATCTTCGAGGTCATAGGTGTCCGAGGCAAGTAGCTCAGTGTTCCCACACTGTTTAGGCTATCTTCTCAAATATGTTGTTTACTCTCTGCGAAACCAGTTAGATGGGCTGGCAAGAGAGAGGCTCTCCAGAATTGACGTGGCAACTCTACCGTGAAGTCAGAACCTCTGACTCTTGGACTTGTGATGTGAATCCTCCGGCCGTTAACTCCAAATAAACCATCATGTGTTTGACATCAAAGCTACTGCTCTTCCCGTGTCTCCTTCCTGAGTCGGTGACTCCCACTGCATAGCTACACAGAAGTTTCCTCTACAAATGGGGGGGGGGGGCGAGGACTGTTAGCGCCGTGTTATGCATACCCACTGCACCTCGCGCATAAAGCAAACACTCCCTGACAGTTCAAAGATCGGCTCGGCTTCCTACGCCGGAACCTGCGACGCTGTCCCCAGAAACTGAAGGAGACAGCTTTTGTGGCCCCAGTACGTTCTAAACTAGAGTACGCCAGCTCGGTCTGGGACCCCTACACTGATAAAGACAGTGATGCCCTGGAATCAGTACAAAGAAGAGGTGCAAGATTCATTTTTGGAGATTATGAATGGGACAGCAGTGTCACAGAAATGCTCAAGCGGTTGAACTGGGTGGAATTAAGTGAAAGGCGGCGATTGGCTCGTTTGGTTCTCTTCTTCAAGATTGTCCATAACATCTCCGCCATTGATGCATCAATGTACCTAGAGCCAGTTAGAAGAACCCGCAAAGCCAACTCTTTGAACTTCGAGCAAATTTTCGCAACTAGTGACACTCTTAAATACTCCTTCTTTCCGAGAACAATCGGAGAGTGGAACTTGCTACCAGAAGAAGCTGTCATCGCAGAAACCGTGGAGAGCTTCCGGCACATTTGAAGAGACATGGATCATCCATCCCCCACTGAGCGTGATACCTCTGGGTTCTGCTCAGTATTAATCCAGACACAGATTTGTTCGGCAAAGTACGGTTTGGAAACGGTATCATTTCCTTTTTGGAGGCCATGCATAACACCGGAGCCTCGCTGCGGGGAAGCTTTGGCGCTGTTCCGAGTTTGTTCTAATCTGTCAAAATGTCCGTCATTGTTAAAAAGAATCCGTCATAGATGGAAAATATTCGGTTAACGCCACCTCTGTACCGTACTTAATGTAGAGAATTGCCTCTAGATTAATGTATATTTTATTATGGGATTCAAATGAATGATGCATTAATGTCTTCATCTCTTTAACAGTACAGCTGGTAAGTATAGAGCATATTCTACTAGATGTATGTACTTCTACACAGTTCAATCTAAGATAATACACCATCATTTATCAGTTGATTACATTTTGTATTTATCGTTTTAGTCGTAAAGTAAATACAGCTTGGAGCAGAGTAACAAGAAACAAAACTCCATCCAACACGTATTGGAGAAGAGGCATAAAGTAGGATTAAATAGAAATAAAAAAATGTTGAGGTACTTCTACTTTCTCTTACTTACAGTACTTGAGCAAATGTACTTATTTACATTAAAACACTGGTCTGTTGTTAATCAAACATTAATTTTCTGACACATCTAACACATCACAGAGTTTTGATTTGTATTCTAACTATTTAGTCTCTAATATATTACAGAATTAAGGTTCAGAGCTCCAACAGCATCCAAGATTTATATTGCATTGTACAACATATTGAGTATTTTACATGGACTGTGTACATGGTATACTTCCTGAAAGCACACAACTACTGATCAGAATTAAGTGCCATAAATAATGCGTGGATCACCAATCAGATGAATTGTTGCAGCGTCTACAGACACAGCCCTGACCCCTCAGAGGAAACATCAGAAATATTGAATGCGGCAGAGGATATTAATAATGCATCTACAAACATAACCCTCCTTCTAAAAACAGGAGGAACTGTTTTATCATTGACCCGACTGTCGACTCGAGGCATCAAGTGAAGCGGTGAAATGTCACGAGCGCGGAGACGTTACAGGAGGACAGGGTGAAGGTTTGCTTGACTTTGTACACATCCTGAAGGGTTTCAGAGAGAGACTGACAAGTCTGTTTGCAGCTCAGAGTCTTATTGTGAACCCGGAGATGTTGAGGACCCTAAAGTTTCATGATAGAAATGTATAGTAAGGGTCCCAAGCACATAGAAAACTGCCGGATGATAACTTGCATATGTTGGGCAATTTGCACAATTAGCATAAGTTGCATTAATTATCATATGCAGACAATATTAAAAAAAAGATCTTGGCCGCTATGGACCATTTTGGAGGTTATTGTAGGTTATTGAGGATTTTGAATCCATTCATGACATTTTCAGGATAAAAAAATGGCAGTTTAAACCAGGAAGTGGCCATATTTGTACTTCTGATGGGCTGATTTTGATGAATTGTGGGTTGATTTTACGTTTAAAAAGGGACTCAAAACTAAATGTTTGATCCTAAAATGTCAGAAACGTATTCAACATCCTCAATATACCTCAAAAACCACACCAACATTTTCCAAATCCGTCAAGCCATGTTTCTAGCTATTCCTATGTATGTCTGCATATAGATATTAATGCCAATATAAATGAAACTGTGCAAAATGCCCAACATATGCAAGTTAGCATCCAGTAGTTTCTATGTGCTGGGGACCCGTACTGTACATTTCTAACATTAAACTTGTGTGTTCTCAACATCTCCGGGTTCACAGTGCAAGTAGACTAGTAGAGATGAAGACAGGTAAGAAGTGGCTGCTCACCTTCTCCTCCAGCATCCATTTCTCCTGCTGCACCTCGGCCAGGCGCTGGAACAACTCCCCGACCTCGTCGTCAGATAACTCGGCCGGACGCTGAGACTGAGGGCTGCCTCCTCCAGACTGACACGCAGAAAGGAGAAAAACATTATTAGATATCATCGTTCGTTTGTACAGCGAAAATGACTTCAGGTTATCCACATGTGCAGCCTTTTAGGTGTGGAAACCTTAGCATGCTTCAATGAGAGTGCTTATCGAGGGGTGCAGGAATAGATAGATAGATACAACTTATTGACATTACACAGTACAGGTACCATGTAACGAAACGGTTTCTCTGCATTTGACCCATCCTAGTGTTAGGAGCAGTGTGCTGCCATTACGTACGGCGCCCGGGGAGCAGTGTAGGGAACGGTGCCTTGCTCAGGGAAACCTCGGTAGCACTTGGTCTTTCCGGGACTTGAACTGGTGACCTTCCAGTTGCCAAGCCAAGTCCCTATCGACTTCGCCACCAATGCCACGAATGACTCCTAAACGTGGAACCGAGTCATCACTCTAGCAATCTCGGGTTAGGTTTTCTGAACGTGTTTGTGGTTGTAAACCTGAAATAAGGTCTGAAGAGATTTGAACGTTATGCTCTACGGCAGTGTTTAAATGAGACGATAATGTCATCACGCCGAACATTAGCCGCCTTTAGCTTAGCGGTGGTGACGTGAAGTAGTTCCTTTATAACAGTGATCACCAACTGGCGGCCCGCGGGCCACATCCGGCCCGCCAGACATTCTCATCCGGCCCGCACGACGGGGGTGACTGTGGCGTTGGCGGAGTAGTTAATGCATTCGCCTCCCACCCATTTTTTTTTTTTTACAACGTCCCGTGAGTAAGGTGCAGTACCGGAGTCCAACAGAGAGGCAGCAGCTGCGGGTCAGTAGACTGCGTACTGCGAAACCTTCCCTGCCTTGAACAAGAATTGATCCTTCGTTGTGAAGAGTCTGGTTAATGCGCTCCGCACCACAGCATTAGCCCCGCTGCGACAGAGTCCAACAGAGAAGCTGGAGCTGCGGGACAGTAGCCTAGAAGCAGGGTTGGGTTGTAACGGAATACATGTAACGGCGTTACGTAATCAGAATAAAAAAATCAAGTAGGCTTTAACTAACTGTATTCAGCTGGCGTTACATTTGAAAAACGAGTAATCTGATTACAGTTACTTTCGTAAACCTGAAGTGAATACATTTTGGAATACTTATTGGAATTATTGGTGGAAAAGTTTCCTCACAAAATGTAATATTCATTACCGGCAGAACTGTGTGCACACTGCACGGCGCTGCATGTCTGTGAGCGAGAGAGAGATGCAGTGTCTGTGAGGCCCCGCCCCCGCACGCAGATGAGAGAGAGAGATCTCTTTTAAACTATATTGAAAGTTACAAACGGAGATGGTTAGATAAAATGTGCAAGATAACGTTTATGTAGCATTTCTTTATTGTCGAGATGATGACATTTATAACGGGATCAAATCAAAGTGAATGGCCTGCTGCTGCTGAATGCATGGGGAAAGTGACTAAAGTTTTAAAAGTTATTACATCGTTTCAGATAATACATAATAATGATAATTCATTATATTTAGGGGCGCCTTTCAAAGCACCCAAGGACACCTTACAATTCATAACATATTCCAAGGAAAGGTTTTAAGACAGTACAAAGAATGCAGTCTGGGTGATGTTTTTTATGTGGGGTGCAGATGAGAGGGCTGTCCAGAATGACACCAAGATGTTGTGTTTGAGTTCTTGATAAGCCATTAAAACAGTAAAATAAGTGTCTCCTGTTCACCAAAACATACCCATCTGTTATGGAAAAAGAAAGTAATCCAAAAGTATTCTAAAAGTAATCTGAATACATTTTTAAGACACGTAACTGTATTCTGATTACTTTCAGAGCATGTATTCAGTAACTGATTACATTTACAAAGTAACCCTCCCAACCCTGCCTAGAAGTGATCCTTCGTTAGCGTGAAGAGTCTGCTAAGCTTTATGTGGTCCACAGTACCTGAGCGTGCTCCACTAGCACCCCCCCCCCCCACTTCAAAATTCTGGGCTATATAAAAATCGCTGGCCCGCGATAGTGTCTATTGGATACATTTTGGCCCTTGGACAAATGTAGTTGGTGATCCCTGCTTTATAACCTACTGTTAGCTTTTTACTTTGAAGATCATAAAGTGTTGTTAATCTGTGGAGATTATCCAGCTGAACAAAACTGGAGGTATCATAAACGTATTTGCCCCAGACCTTATTTTCTGCAACAATCAAAAAAAATATGGAAAAATCCAACTGGCTTTTGTCGAGGGAACATTTGCGATGCTAACTTCCTACAAAAAAAAAATCCCTGCACCACTTCCTATTTTGGGAATTGCGCCTGAGACGTCCTCTCATTTCCAATTTGACAAATATGGGTAAAAGGAAACAGTCATGGATTACAGAGTGTCTTTTATCATACAATTAGAGCTATAGTCAACCAAGGCAGTGACAGACCAGGATATTGAATTCCAAATATTGTTTATCCGTCATGTTTTAATTCATTGTATGTTTGAAAAATGTCTTTCTTTGTTCTGCTTTCCTTGTTCTTAGATCAAAGGCGGCATTTATACTTTGCTACATGGATTTGCAATGCTGCAATCAATTGTGAACTTGCCTCATGGAAACAGACGTAGAAACCAGTACATAGTCAGAACACTTTTTTTCGTTTGAAATGCAGCCTTAGGAATTATTAATGACGACCGCCACAACACAGTAAACTGACCTGACGGCGGCCTCAGCAGAGTCTCGTGTTTATGACAGAAACTCAGTTGCATAAACTGAACCTGTCTGCTCTATTTACAGTGTTGCTATCAATACACACACACACACACACACACACACACACACACACACACACACACACACACACACAACACCCACACACACACACACACACACACACACACACACACACACACACACACACACACACACACACACAACACACACACACACACACACACACACACACACACACACCACACACACACACACAACCACACACACACACACACACACACACCACACACACACACACACACACACACACACACACACAACACCACACACACACACACAACACACACACACACACAACACACACACACACACACACACAATGAAACAGTATGGGGGGTAAAAATAACAACAGAGGAACTTCAAAGACTCTGTTAAAATCAAAGTAAAGCGTAATGATGACGCAAAAACAGAGAGAAGTTAAAATGGAAGGAGAATTGAATGAAGGAGAGACAGCAAGAGAGAGGAGGAGGATGATGGGATGTTTTCCGTTTAGTAGGTTTGGGAATCATTTTGATTTGAACCATTCTGATTCCTATTTTCTCAGGGGTGCAGTCAAAATTGGTCACGTGTTTATTTCGCAGACGAAACTCATCAGTCTAACCCTTTTAAAACGTCAGTAGGCTAAAAACCGTGAATCTTTCCAAACTCTGTTTCACAGGCTCCACCCACCTTGTTCTGATTGGTCGGCTGGGACTCCTTCATCATGTCTCTGTAGGAGAAGGAGGAGACTGAGGACGAGTCTCCGGTGGGCTGACTCCGACTGGGACTGTTGATCTCTGACAGAACCAGCTCCTCCAGACCTGAAGAGAGAGAGATATTGGTCAACTATGTAGTTATATAGACAAGGGCAGAAGCAAAACGTATTTTAGCCACCTAAAGGACAAGACTTTTTTATGCTAAGGGGACATTTCTTATGACAATGACTCCTTATGACTCTTTTTAGGAGTGGCACGTCACTTTAACACAGTTGACTGGCCCTGTATGACACTCAACCCAACGTTTAATGCAGAACACTGTCCCTTTAAGACACTGAACCCACCTTTTATTATAGTGCACTGTCCCTTTAAGACACTGAACCCACCTTTTATTATAGTGCACTGTCCCTTTAAGACACTGAACCCACCTTTTATTATAGTGCACTGTCCCTTTAAGACACTGAACCCGCCCTTTAATGCAGTGTACTGTCCCTTTAAGTTACTGAACCCGCCCTTTAATGCAGTGCACTGTTCCTTTAAGACACTGAACCCACCTTTTATTGTAGTGCACTGTCCCTTTAAGACACTGAACCCACCTTTTATTATAGTGCACTGTCCCTTTAAGACACTGAACCCACCCTTTAATGCAGTGCACTGTCCCTATAAGACACTGAACCCGCCCTTTAATGCAGTGTACTGTCCCTTTAATGCAGGTGCTGTGAGTGGGCAGAGGGATAAGTATGCTACTTTAAAATGTCTGATTCTCAGGTTTGTGCAGAAGAGCCTTTTAAACATTTATCACTCCTCATAGATTATACATGATGCTGAGGACTGCCCTGCCCCGTTCTGTGTGTGTGTGTGTGTGTGTGTGTGTGTGTGTGTGTGTGTGTGTGTGTGTGTGTGTGTGTGTATGTGTATTACTGAAAGAATGACAGGAAAGTCAAAGAAAGGAGAAGAAATAAAGATTTGTAACGAGACAAAAATTAAGTGTGTAAAATATCCAGTTAAATGCAGAGAAATGGACAGTGACGGACTGTGCAGGTGTGTGTTGTGTTTGTTTTTGTGTGTGTGTGTTTTGCCAGCAGACGCCAGTGTGTCCAAGTCAGCTCAGGGAATCAGAGCTCTGCATTAAATATTGAGCAGCAGGTTCCGGACTGAGCCAGAATCTCCTGACGCAGGGTTAGCACACCACCGATTATCGAACCCGTTACAATCACATTTCAGCCACTTAGGACACACACACTCACTCACACACACACACACTGGCTAAGAACTGCTGTCTTTCCTTACTGAAGCATTTAAAGCAGAATGCCGTCCATTTGGGATTTAAATACTCTTCCTGTTAGATTTAATGTCAGGTTCTTCTCCATTGACAGTGAACGGAGCTCTGAGGTTAAGCAGATCGATTTGTTGCAGAGAAATGGGAACATTACTAATACAAGGACATTATTGAAGTCTGTGGGCAGGGTTACCGCTTGGGGCCAAGTATTCTGAACCAAATGGAGAGAAAACAAAACATGATCGAATGCTTGTTTTCACTGTTATGTGAATTTTGAGCTCATTGGTTTATGGAGATGAAGAGCTGCAGTCGGTGCCATTAAACCACTACAGAAGAAGAGATGATTAACAGAACTAAAACATTGGGAAACCACGAGGAAATACGACATGGAATATGACATTTCTGTCTGTTTCATGTGTTATTGTGAGGGATGTTACAACTGCACACATATCACAATTCTTTCACACATGTTTTCAGCTCTTCACGCGATTCATCATTCATTCCCTAATTCTGTCTCTGTTGGGTTTAAATATAGACCGCGTTTAGAAAAAGGGTGTTTCCCAACCAACACATCCAGTCAGAACTGAATCAACACGCTAACAATGCAGTGTCAAAAACACCAGATATTAAAGCATTCATAGACAGTCCGAGCTGGGTTCGCTATCTTTACACCGGGGTTGTTCCTCTAATTAGCAACATAGCTGAATGGGATCTGATCAAGTCATGAAATCCTTGGTGTTATTTGGCCGAGAGACATGTGACAATTGCTTACGGCCCGTCTACACTACAGGCGTCAAAAAATGCTTTCAACGCTTCGCCCATTCATTTGAATGGGGTGACGTAGGATATTTTCAAACTTCGCCGAACTGCATTGTGGGTAGCATGGCAAGGCGTTGCAAGCATCGCGAGCGCCTATCGGCGTCAAAAGTTGAACAATGTTCAACTTTTGAGGCTCGATGCTTGCTCGAAGCTGGCGTCAGCCAATCAAATCCCGTTTTTGCAATTCCCGCCAGTACAAGCGCTAGCCAATCAAACCGCGTGCAAGCTGGGAGAGCCAGACCGCAGTTCATTTCCTCATATTCCAAACGAGAAATTACGGTAGCAAATCACCCGGTTCTTTCCGACCAGAACTATTTACCGGGATACAAACCGGAGGAACCAGGCATGGAGGGAGGTGGCAGAGACAGTGGGTGAAACTGGTAGGTTTTCGCCTGTTTGGGGATTTTATATCCAGTTTACTTCGTTTTAACATTGCTATTGCTTTGTATGTCGGGGGCGGGAGATTCATGTGATTGGTTGTTGGTCGCGTTGCTCGCAAAAAATCGCCAAGCTTCAGACACGCCCAGCTTCAAGCTTTTTCGATGCCTGTAGTGTAGACGGCCCGTTAGTTGTTGTTAGATGTTGGTTGATAGAACTTCCGGCTCTAATTTCCCCATATTGTAAACGAGAGGAGACAGAAAGACTTCTAAGGGATCCCCCTGCTGATATTTGATTATATTATAAATAAATCATAATGAAAAATGTATACAGCACCAGTGGCGGCTGGTGGAAAATATTTTTGGTGGGGCTGTTGATATAGTGAGTAAACTTTTTTTTTTGGGAGAAATGACCCCTTAAATTAGGACTTCTGGTGATGTAATGGCGCGTTTCCAGTGCAGCGCGGAGCTCGCTTTAATGCTGCGTTCAGACCGGATGCGATGCGAATATTCGCTTCGCTCTAAACGCTCTTATCGCATCGCTCTAGTCGCTCGAGTTTCACCGCGGCTGCCAGCTGTGTTTACTCGCATCATTCAAACAAGACGCGCTCGGGAGCTACAACTACAACAAAATGAACATATTTTACCGTGATTAAATTGTAATACACGTTTCTAAATGATGCCGACGTAACAACATACTGATACCGGTTAGTAAAAACCATGAATTAATGCTTTGACAAGTCTGCAGACAGACGGCAGGCGAAAAACCTTTTAGAATGCTTGTTTTCTGAATGGAGATTGGGTCGACCAGGCTAAGCTAACGTTGTATATGCTCACTCCACACTCATAACAACGGCCTACAGACATAAATAAACCAGCGACTGTATTCGCCATGACACAGACAGTGCCGAGCCGTGCGGGGCCCGTTTTTGGTTGCGTTTCCACTTGGCCTAGTACCGGCTAGCGGGTCCTAATTCACAGTTTTTCTGGCCCCATAAAATCGTGGTTCTAGGGCCAGGAACAACCAGGCTGAGTCGGGCTGAGTATGCTAAACTAGAGAGAGAATCGCTGGCAAGGGGGCTACAACTACAACAAGATGAACATATTTGACCGTGATTTAATTCTAATACACGTTTCAAAATGATGCCGAATTAACTACATACTGATCCCGGTTAGTAAAAACCATGAATTAATGCTTTGACAAGTCTGCAGACAGACGGCAGGCGAAACACCCTTTTAAAATGCGTGTTTTCTAAATGGAGCTTGGCTAAGCTAACGTTATATATGCTCCGACCGTCCACACTCACAACAACGGCCTATAGGCTACAGACATAAATAAACCAGCGACTGTATTCTCCATGACACAGACAGTCTGTGGTTTGTACTTGTTTAACTTTTGTCTAGTTTCTGAACAGATCGTATCTGTCCCTGGCTGTTTGAAGAGCAACCATGGGAAACAAAAGACAGCATTTACCTGTTTGCATCCAGCTAGCCATGCCTTTCTGGTGTACCAGCTACGTGAGAAGCCTCGTTGATACGTTTTGTCTTTTTCACGAGCTTGCTGCGATATATACAAATCGGGTTGGTCCAAGGTCTTTAAGCAACAGTTTATCTCCCAAACTTCTCCTTTCGAAAGGATTTGAGATTAGCTCTTGAACGGAATTGGGCGGGGAACGAGGTCCGGCGACTCCACCTGCACACGAAGCCATTCTCATCACCTTGGTCACTCACGAGTCTAAAAAACAACTCACGTCAACGCACGTAAGCAACGTGGGCGCAAACGTGAGCGCCCTCGTGACCAAAATATTTGACGGTGCTGATTGGCTGAAATTATGTTTCGGCGGCACAGTTTACTATTGAGACTTTTGCAACGTGCTGGTTGCTGCTGTTTGTCTCGGGGGCTCCGCCCGGTAATGATAAACTAATGCCATGGTCAAGGCCAGGCAGGAAACATGTGACTTATCAGTAACTTTAGACATTGTAACACAATTTTAAACAAGATTTTATTGTAGATTATACATTTTACTGATACCAATTGTATGATATTTACCTTGTTCATTAAAAATAAAAATAAAAATATAAAATATATTTTTTTTAAATATTTTTTTTGTATGTGGGAAGAGGTGGGGCGGCACCCCTAGCGCCCCTATGGGCCGGCCGCCACTGTACAGCACTTGTGCTTTACGTTTCTGAAGCACTGGGGTCTGTGCTTACATTTCTTTTTGACTGACTGCTAGCGTCTTATTTCATCTGTTTTCAATGAGTGGATGGCGTCGCATGTGGAAGCCTTGAGAAAAAGCGCTGCAACCATTGTAATATTTCTGAACGCACCACAGTGTTTTGCCTTGTCCGAGCGCTTAGAGTGGAACATATTAATGTTAGGACTAATGTTACTGGAGAAATTGGAAGTGAAGCTTGTTTTTTGCCTTGTCTTACAGATGGAAACTATCATAACAGAGAACGAAAAGCTCATTTGTGAGGAACCTTTGATTTTTCTGAACAGAACATTTGACAGGTGCATCTTCGTAGACATGTGAGAGCAGAGCGTGATGGGACATTACATTCAGGGTGTTTAACGGTGCGTTCAAGTACCTGTCCTGGTCTTGCTGTTGGTCAGGATCTCCTGCAGTCTCTCCTGCAGTTTGTCCGCTCTCTTCCTCTCCAGCTGCAGCTGCCGCTTCAAGTCCTTCAGCTGCACACACACAAGCATGCACAAAAACACACACACGCACAGGGTCAGAGATTTACTTTCTAATTATTAGTTTCCATGCATGGCTGCTCTTCAATTAATCTGCAAAATATACTCTGTTATTCCCTCATCTCCATTCAAATTCCACACTTCCTAAGCATCCACCTGTCTGTCTGTCTCTCCGTCAGTCCACCACTCTGCTGTGTGTGTGTGTGTGTGTGTGTGTGTGTGTGTGTGTGTCTGTCTGTCTGTGTGTGTGGAAACATCAGTCAATAGACATTTACTCACCGCTGCACTTCCCTTCTTCTCTAAAATCCTCTGCCCGTCCACAGTGTCCTTTATCTCCTGCAGAGACAACAACAGATCGATGGAGGTTAGAGAGACAAAGAATAAAACATGAATACCACCACACTTAAAAATATATACAGTATATAGTTTTCCTAAATGCTGATGCAGATAAGTATTCCTTTGTTATAGCACCGTAGCGCTTTTTCAGATGTTAAGTTAGTATAAGTGTATTTATATAGCACCATTGAAGAAGATGCAACAAGAGCAAAGCAAAGCATACAACTAAACAAAAGGCAGGTAGCAGCAACTTGCTAGCTGATTTTAAATGTGTCAAAAGATCTGAGGAGATTTGAGAAGGTCAGGGTTTTCTTCAAAATCTGATCAGACTTCAGCACCTTATTGATATTTGATATGCTTCATTTTTCCTACTTTCTAATGTAACTGCTAGACAATCATTTCTCTTGGGTTTAATAAAATGCATCTCTAGGTAAAACAATCCCTTAAATGTTCCGTTAAAGTTAAAGGTCACCTATCATGCTATCTTTAGGCAATAGCATAGGTCTCAGATATATACAAATATATAAAAAAACATGTCTATGAAGTGTTTTGCTCAAAATACCAAACAGATCATTCTAGCCATGCCTCATATCCCTCTATTTCACTTCCTGTTTCAAAAGTGATGATTTGAGGTATAAAGCTTTAAAAATAAATAAAAAAGGAGGGGTCTGAGCTCATGCGGGACCCGGCAGCTACTGTCTAAACTAAATGCTGCCGTGATGAAACGCCATATCATGGATCATCAAGGATTCTCTCTGAAACAGTCTGGAGCTCAAAGGCTTTCTCTCTTGCCGGTTATACCACAAGGTGAGTTCCTTTTTACTTCCTGCTTCTTCACACACATGCTCTCCAGCACAGGTTAGCTCTGAGTGTTAGCGATGCTAATGTAAACACCGACCATATTACGTCCAAAACAGTCGGGCATTGTTTCTGATAGCAACGTTTCTGATTGGGCCGTGGGTCCACATTTCAGATATTACGTCATATCGGACGCAAATCTGGATCAGCTCCGTTGTTCCCCGTTTTTAGAGATTTGGGTACGGAGGAAAAGAGAGAGGGGTTTATTTTCTGACGCTGTGTGAGTTCCCTGACACACCGGGGACACATGTTGATGTAGAAAAGACATCAAAATGTGCATTTTGCATGATAGGTCCCCTTTAAGTATATTTGATCTTACCTATTTAACACTAACATGTGTACTTGATTAATCAATGTTTTGGGAGCATTTAGATGAATTTTAGGTTCACATGTTCACTTTTATGTTTCTTTTTGTCTTTGTTCTGTTATAACGCCTTGTGAGGAATGCTTTGGCCATACTATGTTTAAAATGTGGTCATGCCAATAAAGCCCCTTTGTATTGTATTGGGTTAGTGTTAGTTTGTTTTTAGCTTCTAATGTTTCTCTCTCCAGTTCTAGATTTGTTCGTTATGTATATTTTAAATACCCATCACACATACTATCTCCAAATGGTCTTTTTGTTTTCACCTGTTTGTGAATAAAATAAACTGAATTACTATCTCCACATTCTCATATCCATCCCCACTGATGTTGGAGTTTCTCCTGTTACCTGTTTGAGTTTCTCCATGGCGGCGTTGTGCTCCTCCTTCTGTTTCTCCACCTCCTGCAGCTGCTGCTTCAACCCCTCCATCTCCGTCTGCTTCTCCTGCAGGACACACAGACACGGAGACACGTGAGGACATTTCTCTATCTTCATACTGGGGAAAACACAACACAAGGAACTCTGAATCTCAAACAGAATCACATTGTTCCCTCTGTTTCAGAATACAACATAAATCCTGTATATCAACGTGAGTGCAGTGACGGACTTGACCAGTGGAAGGTGACCCCACAACTCATAAGAAATGTACAAAAGTTTATAGAAATATACTCCTGTTATCTCAATCAGAACAACCTTCTGGATCCGCACCAGTCTGGTTTCAAGGCAGGTCACTCCACAGAAACTGCTCTCATTGCTGTCACGGAGGAACTGCACACTGCCAAAACTGCATCCCTCTCCTCTGTCATCATCCTGTTGGACCTGTCTGCTGCATTCGACACGGTGAATCATCAGATTTTCTTCGCACTCTCCAAAAACATGGAGTTTCAGGCTCTGCTCTTTCCCTCCTCACCTCATACCTGAAAGACCGTACCTACAGGGTGACTTGGAGAGGGTCTGAGTCCGACCCTTGTCAATTAACTACAGGGGTCCCTCAGTGCTCTGTTCTTGGTCCCCTCCTCTTCTCCCTGTACACAAACTCGCTCGGATCAGTCATTAGCCCGCATGGTTTTTCATACCACTGCTACGCTGACGACACCCAATTAATTCTGTCCTTTCCCCGCTCAGAGACCCAGGTCGTCGCACGCATCTCTGCTTGTCTAGCTGACATCTCTCAGTGGATGTCTGCTCACCACCTCAAGCTCAACCTTGACAAGACTGAGCTGCTTTTCCTTCCGGGAAAAGATTGTCCCACTCTTGACCTAACAATCAACATCGGCACCTCAGTTGTTTCCCGGACTCAGACTGCAAGGAATCTGGGTGTGACCCTAGATAACAACCTGTCCTTCACTGCAAACATCGCTGCTACAACCCGTTGCTGCAGATACACGCTTTACAACATCAGGAAGATACGTCCCCAGCTGACACAGAAAGCGACGCAGGTTCTGGTCCAGGCTCTCGTCATCTCACGCCTAGACTACTGCAACTCCCTCCTGGCTGGTCTACCTGCATGTGCCATCCGACCTCTGCAGCTCATCCAGAATGCAGCGGCTCGTCTGGTCTTCAACCTTCCTAAATTCTCCCACACCACTCCGCTCCTCCGCTCCCTTCACTGGCTTCCGGTAACTGCTAGAATCCACTTCAAGACACTGGTACTTGCTTACCATGCTGCGAATGGATCTGGCCCTTCCTACATCCAGGACATGGTTAAACCGTACACCCCAGCGCGTGCACTACGCTCTGCATCAGCCAAACGACTCACTGCGCCCTCGCTGCGAGGGGGACCCAAGTTCCCATCAGCAAAAACACGTGGGTTTGCTGTCCTGGCTCCAAGATGGTGGAATGAGCTCCCCATTGACATCAGGACGGCAGATAGCTTGCACATCTTCCGGCGCAAACTGAAAACTCATCTCTTTCGACTCCACTTCGAGCGTTAGAACTATTAACGAAGCACTTTTATACTAATAAAGGACTGGCTTACCTAAAGCCAGTTGAGTAGCACTTGAAATGTTTGGCTCTATGAAACCTGATGTACTTATATGATTCTGTTTTCTTCAAGGTTGTGTCTTCCTGGTCGAATGTACTTATTGTAAGTCGCTTTGGATAAAAGCGTCAGCTAAATGCAATGTAATGTAAAAATGTAATGTAATATTTAATTCAATGCTAAATTACATGATTTTTTAAGTAATACTTTTAATTTAAAATGAATTCTACCCCTTATATGTAGTGTATTTGAGTACCTTGAAAAGCACTCTACAAATAAATGTATTACCACACAAATGTAATAAATAATAGTAGTAGTATCATTTAAAATATTGACTTCATCTATGTTGTTTGGATTAAAAAGAATGTCAGTAAGACTATGTGAAATTATTTCATTTGGTAAATTATGATCGGTAATAAATCCATCAATCTTTTTCAATCTGTGAGGAAATTCTGCAGGAGAAATTCTGAAGAAATAAACAAAGATAACATACAAATAAATAAAGAATTGGGACCCCCTGTGGTTACACATTAAATGCACTGTTCCCATTTTCTCATACCGATTAAAATCCCATTCCCTCATATACAAAAAGTGTGTGTGTCTGTGGAAAATGTGATTAGGCATGAGGATAAGGAGGTGCTTTAACATTTCCAACAAAACTCAGAAAAGACAAAAGAAAATGCAGCCAGCAATCTATCTTAGAAACTTTTCTTCCTGTGATCCCTGTGCTCTCCTGGTGAATGGAAACATTTAAAGAAGTCTAAACCTCCATCTCCAGCGGTGCCCCCTCACTCTAAATTCAGCTGACTCAGGGATTAATTTTTTTTAAAAAACGACATTTAATTCCCCTCTAATCTTCTGCGGCTAATTAATTTGACAAAAAAAATCTACATTGAAAACTCCTCCAGGCTGCAGCCGCCCACCTGAAGGAGAATTAAAAAAACATGTAATTCTCCTGGAACACAAGCAAGGCTAGGAATGCACTGGTAAGACACACCACACACACACACACACACACACACACACACACACACACACACACACACACACACACACACACACACACACACACACACAACACACACACACACACACACACACTACACACACACACACACACAACTACACACACACACACACACACACACACACACACACACACACACACACACACACACACACACACACACACACAACACCACACACACACACACACACACACACACACACACACACACACACACACACACACACACCACACAACACAACACACACACACACACACACAACACACAACACACCACACACACAACACACACACACACACACACACACACACACACACACACACACACACACACACACACACACACACGAGTCCCTCTGGAACAAACTGTTTCCTCAGAGGGCCGCAGAGTCAAACGGGTTATCCGATTGGCTGAGAGTACTTTGTTACATCCACACTGACATATCCCATGATGCACGGCGGGCGGTGCTTTATTGGTTCCTTATCAAACTCTTATGATAAGGAAGGTAAGTGCTTCCTTTAGGACATGATGTTTTTTTAATGTGCAGAGTTAATTGTTTGGGGATAATGGGTTTATTCTGTTTTTTTTATCTGTATTTATAAAAAGGCATGAGTTTTTTTGTGAGTTTCTTTGTGAATTTGAGTGTAAAGACAAACTCTTATTTTCCTCACAAGTTGAAATAAAGCAACATTTTGACATTTTCTTTCCTTTTACTTGAGTACTACTTGTATTTTCTGCATCTCATCTTGTTCTGTTAAGCTGCATCCGGGCATGAAAGGTGCTATAAGTACTGTATGGAACTCTAGTTAAATAACTTCGTGACATTCCTCCAATGCTCTGGTCTAGCATAAGAGAGATACCTTACTCCAGAGGTGCCCAGTACGTCGACCGCGGGGGCAATGCTGGTAGATCGCGAGTCATTCATAATAAAAAGAAATCCAGCTCCGTTAAAATAGACAAAACAGGTTTTGATCCCTCCTCCCTGCCACTTAATTCAGGAGTTTACTTGATTGACAGAAAAAGCGACCTATCGCTTTCCAGTCTGTTAACCCAGAATGCAAAGCGATACAAAATCAGTCAAGTCCCGGGAAAACTCAAATTAAGTTCAAGAGACAAACAACAAAATGAGTGCGGGACCGAGCAAGAAGCTAAAGACAAACCACTTCCACCCAGAATGGGAGGAAGAATATTT